TAGTTAGTTTTTTTTAATACTTTAGTAGTTATTGCAAATACTTTGCACCCATAGATCTTTAGATATGCCTGATAGGGCTTCTGGTTATAAATAGTAATCCTATCTTAGTGTGCAACATGCGTATGGAATTAATTAAATAGTGTTTTTTAATTAGCTTAATACTAAGGAGTTTAATTATAAAGGTAAACCACTGTGTGTACAATCTCTGGCTATAAAAAGTTAAGTAGTTTAGTATATTCCCGCATGGCTCGTGCTTTATTTTTTATAACACCCCCTAAGCGCTCTGCACCACTATTTTAAGCTGCAGTATAAGGTGCAGTAGGCTCTATCTTTATAAAGTAGGGATCTGACTGTAGAAATACTTTTACCTGTAGCTTTTAACTAGCTATTTTATTATTATATTTAACTACTCTAACCTTAATATCCATTTGTTCAAGCGTTCCAAGTAAATTTTTTAATACAGCAGTTATAGATTAAACTGTCTGGTTTTATAAATAGTAGTCCTATATAAAGCATAACTATTAGTCTATTACAAGTATTAAGCTTTTAAAGCCTTTATATCCTGGTTTAAAATTATGGAAATTAATAGCTAATTATTGACCTGGACCTTTAATAAAGTTAGATAGGGTTCTTTATATTTAATACTTTAGTTTAGCAATTCCGCATGCATTATATTCCACTATTATAGGCCCTTAAATTCTTACACCCTTGGTTAAGTTAACCAGGTGTTCTAATGCAAGTGGTCCAGGATGTCCTAAATATAAATACCAGCGGTTTGCATATGCGCGTGTATTTTTAGTTAAATAAACTAGGAAGCTTGCATATTAAATATCTCTGGTAGAGGTAGGATTATATTTAATAATAAACTGGTCGAATCGGTCCTCCAAGTATGCAACTGGTTAATTATTTTGTTTTAGGAGATTATACCCTGGTCGGTTATCCCACTATATTCCTGCTTAATACAGCTGGTGTAAAGATACTAAATTGCATGCAATACTAGAGCAGTACACTATATCTTAGAGATATAAAATATTCCCCTTTTTATCTTAAACCACCATGTTGCCATATCCCTGGATGCCTATCTTAGAGTCTCCTGCCTATAAAAGTCCCCTAGCTAAGCAGTCTATAAGAATTAAATCGAGAGTATATTAAAAATATAGATAGTTAATCCGGAGTCTAATATACTAAGTGCTTTAATAAATAGGTGGTTAAATAAACTATAAATAATATAAATATCTAACCTACCTGTTTTTGTAATAGTTATTCCGGACTATCTGCTTGCTGTTTTTAATTTAATATTTACTAATTCTGCTATTCTTTAACTTCTTTTGTAAATTCCTTATCTATTTAAAGCAGTAGATTAATATACCTTCTAGTTGTAGCTTGTTTCCTAAATCCTTTTGGTACACCTTTTAAAGCTAGATAAAAATAGTTTTTCTATTCATGCCTTTAACCACATGCTTTGCAAGCTTGATTAGTTTGTTTAACCTCCTGGTAACCAAGGCCTTTAGCCTGTTTGACTGATCCATAGTTACCAAGACTGTTATTATTCTTACGCTTTTGTGTTTGCCTTTAACTCCCTGGTGCGAGATTCTGTTCTGGGTATTTAGCCTTATCGGCTTTATCTGCATTAAAGGTAGGACTAAATAACCCTTTAGCAATTCTATTATTACTTTGGTTTATTAAATTAGTATTTAAGCCTCTCCGGAAGTCTTGCGCTGCTAGTCGGAATGTAAGCTTATTTCTATTAATCTTTTTTTTATTTAGCTATTTAATAGGACATTGCCCACATAGGATTTATAGGATATATGGCAGCTAGAAAGTTATTAATCTAATTACTTGTTAATATTCCCACTACAATTTCTGTATCTGTAGCCTTCTGCATAGCTTTTTCCTAGTTATTTATCCAGGTAAGAGCATCTTTTGATTTAGTAATTAGCTTAATTGCTTTCTTATATACTTTACAGGCAAGATTCTTAGTAGTAGCACTATCTATTCCAACACTTTGTTATAGATTAGTGTACCACTCCTGCATTAATTTAGCTAGTTTGCAGCAGTGTTTATAAACTAATAAAAAGATTATTTTTTGCATTTATTCCTAAAGCTTATCTAGCTGGGATTGCTGCCTGGTATAGACATCAAGACGTGTTTTATATCTTGTCCAAGTAAATTAATAATCTGCAAAGAAAACAGGCGTTCCTAATTGTAAACAAGTGCTTCCAGCAGGTGGAGTGTTCTCCTTTATGGGTTTAGATAGTTCAGGAAGTTCTTCCTTGTTTTTAATAATAATATCCCATACATTCTTGCCTCGAGCTAATCCTTTAAATTGGGCATTCCATTCCTCCCAGTGGTCCTGTGATTTTAAAATAATGGTATTCTGGGTAGACATTCTGTTTAGAGAAAGAAAAGGTCAAATAGTTGGATCGGTGGGCTGTATAAAACGTGGATCAGCGTATAAAACTTTTAATTATCTGATATTTAGCTAATACCGAATAGGAAAGTAGACACTATTCTTGAAAGGTGCTTAAAATGATTGTTTTAGATGGGTTCTTGATTATATTGATCAACATATGATCATTCTTGTGATTATTATTATAGATCATTAGGTTGCTTCTTCTGCTAGGTGTAGGGGAGTTCGTTTTTACCCCTCTTTTATGACCTTGTTTACGTCACTATTACCACCAACTTATCTGACAATAGCTATTATCCTAAGTCCTCGTTCGAAGAGGTAATAGACAATCAACAACCTCCTCACAGACCACGGGACGCAGTTGCGTAAAGGGCATGTTGTCTTTTCTCCTGCCAGGAACTTGTGGGCTCGGAGCCCACAACTTCTGAACTGTCTAAGATTGTCTCCTTGACCTACTCCTTCGGAGTTCTACCATTTCCCTCTCATTCAGTAGCAGGAATAAAAAAGCTTTTAAAGCTAGCGCAGCCCAATCTTATTAGTAGTCCATCCATTCTTACTAACTTCAATTCTCCAGTTACTTGGTAAGTTCTTATACCAACCCTCTATATGGACCTTTCCCTTGAAGATAATACAAGGTGGAAGTGCCCATCCAGTAGAGTTAACACACTTGATAAAGGTAACCCATTCTCGATTGCCTGGCTGTACAAGAAATGGCTTTCCAGGTATATCAGCTCTAGTAACTACTTTAGCAGTAGCTACCAGGCCTATTGCAAAGCCAGTTTCATTAAAATTGTAGATATCTTCTTGTGCAATTCCATGTTGCATTATAGTGATTTGTACACGGTCAAACCACTCCCTAATAAGCTTAGGATCCTCACACTTAGCACGCTGGTGATTGTATCGTCGAAAATATCTTGATTTAAGCTTATCACGCTGTTTGACAAAGTTGTATACCTATTTATCACCAACGGTTTGAATTGGTGTGGTACCACGCTTGGTAAAAAGAATATTAGCCATATCTCGCACATAAGATGGCCGGGGAGAAGCTCCACGTCGGTCTAATAATAATATCTATTTTACAAGCAACTCCTCTTTATTTTAAGTCATTTTATGATTGTTTGCGCGTAATTCAGCTCGAAATATTACTCCATGCAGCCTTGTGTGCAGTGTTGACTCAGGGACTTGGTAAAGACGTGCTTTGTCGTACAGACGCAATTTCTTTATTTTTTATAGCTGATATTGCTAATAGGATACTTCTCTCCCGCTTATCTAAATTTCTTGATTTTTGACGCGCTTTTGGAGGCATGGTTGGTGATTAAATTGTCTTAATATTTTACTTCAGTCAAAAAATATTTGGTGCGCAGCTCGCTTACATGCGCAGCCCGTTTACCGCTTACGTTAGTAGTTAGCGGCCACGTCGACAGATCGATGTCAGTGATACTTCTTGGCATTATGTCAAATAAGTTGGTGGTAATAGTGACGTAAACAAGGTCATAAAAGAGGGGTAAAACGAACTCCCCTACACCTAGCAGAAGAAGCAACCTAATGATCCATAGGGTCTTACACTCTTTCACACTTTTTCAAACCCTAATGCCAAGACAGTCTAAACTACTTTTGGAATTATTCCGAACAACCATGATTCTTGGCTTTGTACGGTACTATATTGTATTTTACAAAAGTATCTGTTGTGGAACTCAGGGGAAATGGGGCGTAGGGAGCTATTCTATCAGCTACAGGCCAACTAGCCTAATTAGGAAGTAGATGTCATTCAGTGGAAACACCAGGAATCACAGTATCTCAACCAACTGAGTCTCTTGCATTCCTATCTAGGTGCTCAACTATCTAAAGGATTGAGGGGTAGAATGTATCGGTAGATATTTCCGCACCGCCAAGTTGGGCGGATTATAGTGTTTCCGTAACAGTATCTATGACCAAATATAACTTACAGTACCTTGTTCCACGTATACAACTGCACCTTAATGCCGCTCCCTTAATATATTTCCCCATCTTACTAGGAAGTCCTCCCGGTCGATCATTCGAGTGCTGTTGTAGGGATGGCACCCAATCTTGCTACCTTAACCTTGGTATTAATCCATGATATGATCGCCAATAATGAACTTACTGTCCCCCAGATGGCTAAAGCCGCTGGTTGCAATAAGCGTACGATCAGACGGCTTCGCTCTAATATGCACCAATTTGGCAATGTGAAGGCAGCTCCCAATAAGAAAGGACGGCCACGAGGTCTTACGCCTGTTGTTTTTCAAGCTCTTTGTGATTATCTACTTGACAAGCCTTATTTGTATCTTGATGAGCCTATGTTATAAAACGGTGATTGAGAATCAACCGCCTCAAGTATATGATTTAGGATTAATATTTAGTCCAATAAGCAGCATAACAAGGATTGAATTTGAACCACAGAAACCATTTAGATAATTGGAAAACCAACTATGGAAGAGAATAGGAGCTCATGCTTACAGATGCTAGAGGGTTATAGAGATGTGGCGCTGTCGGTTGTCTCCTATAATGTCAAGCTCCTCGCCTCCGCCTTGTCGGACCAGACCGCCTTGACTTGGGATGCTAGCGACGGAAGATGCCTACAGACGCTGGAGGGCGTGTGATTGACACTCTGCTGATCATGACGGGTGCCACCCTCGAAGCGGAGTACCAGCTCCAGATCAACACGATCAATGCGGTGACTTGCATTCTGTTGCGTGGACGGAGGGCGGCCCGTGCGTCGACCAATTCAACCTCGCGCCTGGCCTTGTCGAAGACGAATGAATCCAGAGAAGGGAGAGTAGTCAGTCAGGTTTTACTTCGGCAGGTCTGAAATTTGTAAGTTGAAGGATTAACTGGAAAGTAGTGAAATTTGTCTTCTACTGGGAATATATGAGACCTGCTGATAGGTTTAATTTCCGGCTGCATTAAGAGTTGAACTCCACACTAAAAAAGAATTTGAGTTTCTACAACTATAACACACCAGATGTCGTTCGGCCGTAAAATTTTCCAAAAGGCAACCTTACCTGCTGCGAAAGTGAATTATTAGGAGGCAGATTAACAAAGTCGGCTATTCTGGGAGGGAAATGCTTATTAGAGCAGACAATTTATTACTTGTGGTAAGAGGACAGTTCAGCTGTAGGCCCTGCATTCAGTGTTACATTCCAGCCATCCACCCCGCGTCCACTGTTCCATTCAAAATCACAGCGATTGTAAGGTGCTCAGTCAGCCACAGCACCTTAAGTTATAAAGTTCTGCAGGGAACTAGAACCAATTAAGAGGCCTACTAGATATATTAAAGTATAAATTCGCTAAGCGAACTCATGCAATATTGTATAAAGTGTTGAAAATCTTCGGGGAAGAAGCTATGTTGTGAGGTGCTAGGATAGCGGTGACTGGATAGTATATTGAAACTATCGTGCGATCTAGTATCGCTTGGTGAGTATCTTCATCTATCTACGAGAGAGAGCGTAGACAAACGCTTCCTTATGTCTACGTGTCCCTTAGCCCCTGAATGTGATATATCAGATCGCTGCGGGACTAGGATATACGAAGGTGCCTCAGGCATCCTGATTTCCAACATAAATTACCATTATTTATTTTCTCAGCGGATTTTGGGACCAGCCCGTGTTTTGGCGAGGTCTAATAACAGGTAGCTGTTATAAAAATTAGCTCTTGATTTAACGCGACCTGACCTAGTAGGATTCTCGAGCGGTCACTAGATAAAATTCATGGTTGATCACTTTAGCCGTAAGATCAATAGTTATATTTTATCTGTTTGGAGGCCAGGATACCTAAATACAGTAACAGTAACAGAACTTACCAAAACTGGACTATTAGTTTTTTAATCCAACATTGTCTGTTACTATAGTTACTAGATATCATGCAATTTACCCGCTGCGCCTTAGCTAATCTTCAGTCCTAAGTCCTTTACTGCATATAAATTACGCGTTCCGCTCTCTACTGCAGCTGGTGCGCGATTAGCTATTGGTTATAATACTCAAATTTGGCTTTAAGTGGTTATCCAAAAACCTTATCAAGCATGGTATCCATGGTGAATGTTACATTTTGCAGCCTACATGCAGCTCCGGAGTGTTCGGATTTATCACTACGTCATTTCCGCAACCGGATAACTACGATAATTCTCGGTTGGAAGGAAAGTCATCGATCAAGAAATAAAATAATATAATTTAAGTTCTTAACCAGATTCTGTTAACAGCCATAATTTAACCGCTTCCGACTAGAGCTTTAAGGGAAGCGCCTGGTTACAGGAAACTAGCGGCAAGACAATTTTGCGCATAATGACGTAACTTAAAGCAATCTAGTTAGAACTATAAGTAGCAAGGTAATCTCCTTAAAATCTAGTACTGCCTTAAATTCACATACCTAATTTTGTTTACTATATACTTTTTGCTCGGCAATAATGTACTCTTCTTTCCTTTTCTTTACCCTTTTTGCTCTAAGCATAGCCCTTCAATTTCCAATCACTCCCCCCTATTTTCACGTCAGTAATTCTTGGAGCTATACCGACTGCGGCACACCGGACGATGTCCTTCAAATTGAAAGAATATCACTTAACCCTGATCCACCTTCTGCGTATTACACTTTATCCTCCTATTTCCCATCCTCTTTATGTCTATAGCTAACAAGTTTAGCGGCAAACCTTGCGAAGTAAAAATTACTGGGACTGTCAACGACATTATTGAAGAAGGTGCATACGCTGACGTGGCCGTAAAGCTTGGTCGTATCAAGATCTTGAAGAAGACTTTCGACGTTTGTGAAGCTTTCAGGGATTACAACACCACCATTCAATGCCCAGTCAAGCCAGGGTCCTATGAAGTCACTCATACCGTGCATCTGCCCAGAGAAATTCCGTTGGTATGTAACGGCATATTTAACTACAGAAGATGGCTTTTGGTAACAATAGTAAAGGCAAGATATAACATCGACGCAATGGGCTTTACCGTTAACGAGGACGATATGCTATGCTTGAAGTTTGTAGCTGATTTTAGATTCCCACCTAAATAAGTCTTGGGTGCAATAGTGCAATAACTCGGTTGGTCTACACGTGTCACCTTAAGGTAAAGGAACTAGTCTTTGGGGCTTCACGTTAGTTGGATTTGGATTAATTCTTAATACTCTTACTATATTATTGCCTTGATATGTATTTTCTCCTTCCATATATTAGGCTTTCCCTATACTTATCCGATTGCTATCTGTTGCACATCTAAGCGCAGTGGATTCTCAGCTAGTAGGGCTTGACAACAATAAGAATTTAGCACACTGTATAGAACATGATATTTTTCTTTTGGGCTATTCTTGCCACCTCGGGTTACTCTATAATTGACGCCCAATGTAAAGGGGCGAAATGCCTTGCTATCTAATGACTAGATATACACAAGGAGGAATCGCTGAGAGGAAGAAGGTAAACAGTTGACCTTAGTTGCCCCAAACTATGATTACGTTGGCTGCCGTGAAGTCTCCGGTGATTGGCAGATGCTTGATCCAGCCTATCACCCACGGTTCGCCTGTACAGGGCTGTATTTATCATATATGACGTCTTTGTATTTTACAATATAGTACAAGTATTAAATTGTACCCGGAATATACTTCTTCCGGTGAATCCCTAATAAAGCTTAGTTCAATATGTGTCAGATATACGGCTAGTCCCGAAGAGGAAATAGAGTACGATTGGTAAAAAGGTCTTATTTGAATGAATTGAGCTGGTTGGGCTCTACTTGATTATGTTGATTATCCTTCTTGGTTATTCTTGATTGATTATTTTGTTGTGTGCTCCACGGGGGTTTTACCCCGATCCAGTCACATGATTCTGGTCCACCAACGGCCATATTATTTGACAGTTTTGTTATAATCAAAGTTTTTAACTGTAGTGCCAAGAAATTATCAGTAAATATAAATACTGGTAGCCTAGTGGTAAAACACTACTACCCTCCTCTAGAGGGACTGGGTTCGATTCCCAGTGGGTGCCTTAGAGATGTCGATATCATCTAGGCTGACCGTTGGGAAGGGAAATTCCCATGGGAAATCGGGATGGGATTCCCGTCCCATAAAAACGGGACGATTTTCTAAGATTTTATGGGAATGGGAATGGGAAGGGAATGCCAAGAGATTCCCACTGGGATTCCCCGTTCTTTCTGGATGGGAATTAGGGTAAGAAATGGGATCACACTTACTAATAGGAAGGGAATGGGAATTTGGGAAATTCCCTTGGGATTAGATGGGAACTTCCCATACTAAATCACGTGATCAATAATTACTGTATATACTGTATAGTTACTACTAAAAACTGCTACTTTAAAAATATACTAAACCTAATTAGGAAATGGGACGGGAAATGGGATATCTTCGTGTCTACAGGTCGCGACCAGGTGGGTCGGACTTGGCGTCAGGTGCCTAGGCCCAATTAGGCGATATCACATGATTTTACTAGCTGACGGGAGTTTTGCTCCAGCTAACGCCACCTCTCTCTTTTAATACATTACAACTCTCTGGAACCCTTTCCCCTCCCCTCATTTTCGACGTTTTTACGGTGCTGCGAGATGGCTGGTTATAATACTATGAGAAGAATCTTTAACTAGTTGGTAACTAGTTAGGAGCTAATTAGTTACTAGCTAGCCCGAATACCATGCATATTAGACAGATGTGAAGGATGGACATGTTCGCTTCGCTTCAGGACACAGTTCGGCCAGGCCCGGCAGAAAAATCTGCCAGGCCCATTAGCGCTTTTTCGGTCACATGACCCACAATTGCAACCAGGCCCTTTAAAACCACTAGTATTCCCCATGAAATCAATGTTTCTTACTTTTTTTTATTCTGTGGTTGGCTACTAACAACAAAAGTACTTTTTAAGCACTTTGTAACACAAAGCATCATAACATGGCCTCTCCATATTTACCTGAGTCTGAAGTCTCGTTAACCGAAAGTAATAATGTATGCTAAAAGTGCTTAAGTAGTGCTTAGTAACTGCCTATTAAATACTTTATATTAATTATATATTTTTTCTAGGCTGTCGTTCCTACTCGGCTTACATCATTTCACGAAGGAGCTCTAGCTGCAACAGAGTTCACCTATACTAAATGCTTACCAGATTACCCTTGTACAAGCCCTTCTGGTTACTGTTATGTGATTGATTACCAAAATCAGACCAATCCACCAGAAAATGCTCGGGAAATTCTTGATAATGTAAGTATAGTACTATTAAAACACTTATTAAGTACTAACCAAGCACTTTAGATCCAATATTCAAAACACCAGATCTTTCGTAAAAAGATCCACTGCAGCTTTCTTAAAACCCAGGTTTTAAAGATTAAACTTCATTGTACAGGAGTAAAAGTCTGCCAATATTTAAAGCCTGAGTTGCAGAGTCTTGTATATTCCTTATTTAATAATAGTATTTGTGATATAATGTTTCCAGCGCAACAGGTAGTAAATAGGGACTATAAAAGACAGGCAATATTTAGGTATATATTAATAAGCACTTTAGTAGCACTTTATTAATACTTATTATAGCTTTTATCATGCTATTTAAAAACACTTTTAAACTTATAAGGCCTGCCTTTAATCACTTCCATCCTGCACACCAGTCTTTTTGTATTATAAGGATCCTGTAAGTATTGTTTTAGTATTAAATAAGTGCTTTGTAGATACTAATTAAGTACTAAGGATATTTGTACCAAATTTACACCATACATTGCATGTTAATATTAATTAATTAATCCACAGCGCTATTTTACTGAGAACCTTAAACAATCTAATTTAGATATTAAGTTACTCAGGGATTTATTTTATCAAAGAATAAATCCGCCATCGGACTCTTGCTTAGTTATTTTGCAGCAGAAGTCACAAAAGAAGAAATGTGGTAAGTACTTAAATAGTATATTATATGTATTTAGTTAGTGCTTACCTTTTTATAGGAATTAACCACCCAGGAGGAAGTGGGAATCTTAAGAAAATAAACTGTGAGGTTTAATTCTACCTTCTTGTTCCGGTAGATCTATCTACCTCTTATTTTTATTTATTTCTTTCTTAAGGGATTCATACCCATCCTCCACCCCCACAGACTAAGATCCCAGAGCGAATTAATTATATTTTAGGTGAAGTTATTGCTAAAACCATAACCCTAGATATTACAAGATGTAAGTACTTTATAAATAATTTTTAAATACTTATACAATACTAATATATTATTCTAGCTGGCTTTTTAAAGTCTCCTGCATGTGCAGAATTCTGCCGCATAAATAATACTTATACCTTAGGCAACATTTATAAAAGCTTAAATAATCTTAATGCATTATCAGCTATTATTTAAAGATAAAAACTTATTCACTACCCAGCTGGCCAACATTATAATGGGGTTTTTGTGGAAATGGAAACAAATCCTGAAATTAAGGTAAGAACTATATATATACAATCTTAGTGTTTAAAAGGTGCTAAATATGTACTTTAGGAGTATATTTAGGGTATATACCAAGATCCTAAAGGAATTATACTAATATACAGCATAACTAAACAGATAAAGCTATTGCAAAGCTTTACATTTTTTAAAGTGGATATATTATACAAGCGTGTTCAGTAAAAGGATTTAAATAAGATTATATTCTCTGCATTTATTCCAGAACATGGTAAAAGTAAGTGCTTTGTAAGGGCTTTAATAGTATTATATAAGTGCTTATATTTATAGTCATAACACTTCTCCGCGTCTATACGTCTCAAGAGAATCCACTTGGGTATTATAGACTTTTTAAGAGAGTATTTACTCTAATACAGGAAAAAACTGGAGATTTAATTAAATTTAACTATCTTTATCACTCAGGATTTCGGTCAATGGTTATGGATATGGATGGTAAACAAAAAGAAGGTAAGTATTAACTTAGTGCTTTTATAGTATTTTTTAAGTGCTTTATAAATGTTTATATCTAATTTAACAGGTCTTGCAAAATACCTTTAAAAGCTAAATCCAGCTCTTAGCAAAGAGACTTATCTTCGCAGTATTCTTATATTTTACCGAGTTTATTTTTATCGCAACATTAAAAAGGCAGTTGGAACTCATCCTAGCTCTTAATTGCTACGTGAAAGAATGGCAAGCCTTCTTAATTATAAGACTGAAGAAGAATATTTCAAACTACTTGATTTAATACAAGGTATATACTTATAAAGCATTATAAAGGTACTTATATAATACTAATATTCCTAGAATATAAGGATGAGAAGATTGTTAACTGGGCTAAACAGAAACATAACCTAGTTATTACATCTGGGTTATGTAAAGCATGTTCACTGATTCCTAATAAATATTAGGATAAGATTCGGCTCTCTACTAATACTGCAGAGCAGACACATAACAAATCTTATACTATGGGCCGACAACAGCATTTACTTCCTGCAGTAAAAAGGTAAGCAGTTTAATAGCTCTTAGGAAGCACTTTATAAATGCTTGTATATTAAATGCTGAAATAATAGTAGTGCCTGGCTTTAAGATAAGGTGGATATGCAACAATATCAGGCTTGTAAATAGTCTAGGATCTATTATTCTCAACGCATAAGTAATTTTCAGACTGGATATAAGCAGCATCTTGCAAGAGAGTGTAAGTGCTACTTAAATATATATATATTAAGCACTTTTATAATACTAAATTAATACTAGATAATCGAAAGCGCCGCTACTACGAGTTATTAAATTCCGACGAAGCCACAGGGAGACTTAAAAGTCCTGTAATACCAGAGACAAATCTATTATTAACTCCTAGACAGTCACGCTCAGTATCAAGGTCACCATCAGCTCGCGGTCGAAGGGGAAGTACACGCAGCAGGTAAGTGCTTTTAAAATATTTAACAAGTACTTTTAAAGTGCTTACACTATATTATTTAAATATTTATTAACTAGCTTTGGCTTTCTAGCACTTCGTCACTTAGAAGAGTCGCCTCAGCTAATCTTGAGATTGAAAATCGAGATAAAGAGCTTGAGATTCGAAATAAAAAGCTTAAGATTCAAGATAAAGAGCTTGAGATTCGAAATAAAAAGCTTAAGATTCAAGATAAAGAGCTAGAGTTGCGGAAAAAGAGGGTAGAAATTAAAAAACTTAAGGAGGAAACCAGGTCTCGCCGACTATTTAATAATATGGTTAAATCTGGTAGATTACAGGATATTAATGTACACCGCTTTAACTTATAAATAGAAATAATATTATGGCTTTAAAATATTTACAGTTAATAAGTTCTGTTAAAATATATAGAAATTATTATTATAGTGCTTAGAATATGTTCTTGTAGAAGTTATAATATATATTTTAACATTAATATAGAGACTTCCTTAATATTAATATATAAAGTACTTTAAACGCATTCTAAAAGCACTTAGAAAGTGCTATGTTTTCTAAAACATATATTAATTAATTTTACAGTACTTCAGGGACGTTAATAGTGCTTTACAAATGGACAGAAAAGCTATAATTCTATTCCGAGTATTAAATTTAATACTTAAAAGGCGCCTAAAAAGCACTTAAAAACCTTTTAAATAGACGTATCCTCCTTTTCACCATTATCTTTATTATCCCCATCAATCTCACTGCAGTTAAAAAAGCTAAAGTGATCACAGATGGTACGGTCCTTGCAGCAAGCTAAAAATTATATTAGCACTTGGAAGGTACTTACCACTTGCCTTCTTGCCTGCAGCCTTACAGGACAGACAGGGGCATGTATTAACACCTATTTCAGCTAACATTTCTTTTATCTTCTTAGATGAGGGCTACATAATTAGTAAAGTGCTCTCTAAACACTTATTAAACATATATTAAGTGCTTATAAGTACCTACATTTTTAGTGCGCGTCAGGGGAAGTTGCAGAAGGGGTTCCGGGATAGGGGTGCTGCGGTTCGGTAAAGGCGGATCCTCTAGGACCTCCATACCATTCACAACCGCCTCGTAGAAACCTGTAGAGGATAAGCGCTTAGAAAATATTTAAAAAGTACTGTAGAAATACTTATGTATAGCTTCCTTAACAACACAGGAAGAGGGGCGTCCAGTGGTGGCGGGGCGAATATCAATTCCATAGGCAGATTTTATGTGGTAGCGCAGGTCGTTAGTGCCTGGAAATGCTTTCTAAGCATTTAGTTAGTACTTAATTTCTAAAGTAAATCAAGCGCTTAGATAGCACTTACACAAGGGCAGCGGCAATATTGGACACGACAAAACAGCTTATCAACATGGATTACAATGTTAGTGTTATCCTGTTCTAAGCACTTAGTATGCACTTCGCTATCACTTTTCAAGCACTTTATACTTTTGTAATCACTGGGAGGGTGAGGGAACGGTTTTCGACTCCAGTAAGGTAGGCTTTGTAGGCGTCCTAACAAACTTTTTATTAGCATTTTGGCTCAACAAATCAGAATCCATCTAATATAATATCCAAAATTATTAAATTAGCATTAAAATATCGCTTTCTTACTATTTCAGCAAGTGTACAAGGCATTGTGGTGGTTGTAGCGGTGGTGGTGAGTAATATAAAGGTATTCAGATTTCTTGTGGTAATTTCGGGCCTGGTCAAGTTTGTTAGGGACCTACCATATTCGGTATGGTCACGTGGCCTCACTTAGTCACCCATCTAGATAGTCAGCTCGCCTGAGCCCCTTGAATTCAGAGAATTGTGCCTCGCGAACAGGTTATGAGACCCTCTATATCTTCCTTTTAGAGCTGATATTACGTGGTTTTAAACCACCTGTTTTGTCTATTCAATTGCCTCTCGAGGAATTGATAATATTTCAATAAAATGGCCCGAAGAAGGGAAAAGCGCCTGCTAGGGATAATCTCCATACTGTACCCTGGCCATCCTCTCCTGCGATAAAGACCACTACCACGAGATACTGCGTCGGAGGAGGAAGAGGATATCGCATGGAATACGTGTCAAGGGATTAATTTAGGGATCTCCAAGCGCAACTGCAGAATTAACAAACGCAATTGCAGAGTCAAATGCAAACTTAAATGCAGTAAATAATAGAGCTAATTTAACGCAGTTAATCGCCCCTTTTAAGTACGCCTACTCCAAATCCGAAGCCCACATTAACAGATCTGCCGTCACCACGCGAGGATGACGCCGGCCGTGCGAGTATAATACAAGCAGTTAGCACCATGCGGAAGGATGTTGGTCGAAAGCTTTAATATAAACTATAATCTTTAAAGATTTCCAATTTTGCGGATTGGAAAGAGGATCTATTTAAAGACGCCCGTATTATAAACGCGGAGTCGATCTTGATTAACAAGAAGCTTAATCCACTAGACAGTGAGAAGCTCAATTTAGCAATTTGGCAGATAAAGAATAAAGCTTTGGCTATCCAAATCTACCAGTTAATATCGCGAGAAGTGCAGGATCGCCTAGGTAAGATAGATATCTCGAAGGCAGCTGCATTATATATACGAATCTATAAGGCAATAGGTCAGACGAAGGCCCAGGAGCGCTATAACCTAGTGCGAGAAATCATTAATATCGAATTATATAATAGCGATTATTTGGTGTACAAGAGCAAGCTTTTAACACTCCAGGCACGCGCGAAACACCTCCATGTGACTGTGGATAACATATTTTATAATATCTACTATATTCGCCTACGCAATTAGCAATCGAATTTTATAACGAATAAGCTTGATCCATTCCTTGCCTCAGGGGCAGGAAATCAACTGATTAAGAATACCAATCTAGTTAAGATTAGACAACAGTTAAAATTGCAACAATCTAATACACGCTGTTTAAAGACTTCTGGATTAAACCAACAATCTAATAGCACCAAAAAGAAGCCAGATAACAAGTCGGACTCTACCTCTTCTAAAAATGCAAAATTATCTTGCAGTTATTACAGATAATATTCTCTCACAAGGATATGCTGGTATCAGAATCCCGAGGCAATTCTCTTTAATAGAGCAACACCAGCGTTTCTCAAGCGAATTAATAAGTATAGGGCTACTAAAGGTGATCCTGCATATGCACCACCTGCACCGAAGCCCTTGGCATCTGCGAATTATATTACGGAATTAAGCATGCAACAACCACCTAAATAGTATGTGGATACATGCGCTTTTTGTACTATATAACCCCTAACAAGACATCTTTTCAACGTACGAAATTCTACCGACTGGTATGCCTAATATTAGCGGATCCTTAGGTGGACAAAAGCCTCCCCTTGCTGAGGGAACGGCCCGAATAATGTTAAATAATATTACCCTTAATATACCAGAGGTGCGCCACGTACCTGGTTTATTAGCGAATTTATTGAGTTACGCGCAGCTTCTAAAGGCAGGTTTTAAACTATTAATCCCAGAGGACGCGTACACCAATATTATTTTTACTAATAAAAACAGCTTGACTATCACTGCAGTCCCTTCGACAACAAACTGTTATAAGATTAACAGTGTAATATACAAGACATCTTATTTAAAGGAATTAGCTCTTACAGCTATAGCCTTTAAAGCACCCAATCCTCAGGTGGCTACTATAATCTAATGGCATCGATGATTAGCGCACCTAAATTACCCTAATATTTTGCGATTATCTGTACCCTGGCAGAGATTAAGGTTCCATCCCCAATCTCGGCCCTTTTGCGATATTGCAGCGGCGAACAACGCAGCCTATTTATATTGGCAAAACACCACGAGACCTCTTCAACATTTTTATTAATATTGCGGGTGGAGGCAATACTCTGTCTAACGCTATAAGCAGCTTAACACCCTGCTTCTGTACGGGTTCCGCTATTATATACTATAACAGACGACGCAACCGGTATCGTGGATTATATTTCTTAAAATAAAAGCTGTCATTAACATCTACAATGGCTTAGCAATAAAAACCAAGGCTTTTAACCCCTGCTTCGTGCATTGCGATAACAATTTGTACTAAGGAAATAACAAAATGGCGAATAAAAATATGCGAAGATAAAACAACTAATCCCTATTTCATAGCAGAATAGACAAAACAACCGGATTATTATAAGTTACCGCGATTCTGCATATTCTGATTACTATATTAGCTCTGGCAGGAGCATGCAACACCAGTCTATATTAAAAAATTCCCTATGTCTACTACGCTGTACCAGATTACTTAGTTCAGGGGGGGTATTACAATCCAGATATTCCCTGCAGATGTATACGCATTCTTTTTTTAACAAGATCCGCAGATTGCTCACATTCGTCCCTTTGTTGTTGTGTTTGGTATTATAACGACCCAGGACATCAAGATTTAACAAGATTTTGCTGTGGTGCTCCAGGTATCTACATCAGCAGCAATTCTTCAACCAATTATAAGGTCTACATTAAAGAGACAAACAAGGTTATTCGGACTGGCCATGTTTTATTTAACAAACAGGCTTAGAGGGAACAGCCTATGGAAAAACCGATTAATTCTACTGTACCTCCGGACCCTGAATATCTCGCGCAGGAAGCACTGCATCTCATGGGGGATTCTCCCGCGGAGGATAACAGACAATCTGACTGGGTTCGACCTGCTAAAGGCTTTGCTCTATTCGCAGGATTTACCCCTACTTCGCCTACTTCCACTGCTGAGGCAAATCGACCTCCGATTCCGAATACTTGGCAGGAAGCAATAAAATCACCTGATAAAGATAGATAGTTAGCAGCTTGCGAGCTTAAAGCTTCCCGTCTCGACAAAATTAAGGCATGGGACTTGATTAATAAGCAATCTATGCCTAAGGGCTTAAAGCCTATCCCTGGTCGTTGGGTTTTTAGTGTTAAGGACCTTAATAACAGCACCTTTAAATACAAGGCACGTTGGGTTATACATGGTAACTTGGTTAAACAAGATCCTTATTTTGGGGAGACATATTCGCCAGTGGTTTATCCCCAAATAATTAATATCCTATTCGCAGTTGCAGCTTATCGCAAATAGTATATTACTTAGGCGGACGCGGTGCAGGCATTTTTTAATAGCAAAGTTAATATGCTAATATATATGCGCCAACCAACCGGCTTTTAAAAGGTAATCCTGACACCATGGTTTGCAAGCTAAATAATGCCCTGTATAGTCTCGCGCCTTCTGCACGTATATAGTACGACCGTCTCTGTAGTAATTTTAAAGCTTTGGACTTTAAAACAAGCGACTACGACCCAGGCCTATGGATTTACCAATCTCGCAAAAATCTCTATGTGACTGCTTATGTAGATGATTTTGCTATTATTACAGCGCTTAAAGCAGACATAGAATAGCTCCTAAGCGCAATGTAATAAAAAATTCGCGATTAAAAACAGCTCACCTCAAGCATTTCCTCGGCATGGAGATTACTTAATCTAATAGTTAGATTAAGCTTATGCAGACATCTTATATTAATAATCTCGTTGCTTCGGCAGGGCTCGCAGATGCCTATCCAGTCTCTTTACCTGTAGATCCGGGTTTAGTTATTAATAACGACCCCGATCCCACTGTTAACGAGGAATATAATCGACTCACGGGTAGTTTTTAATAGCTTGCCTCAAGAACCCGTCCAGATATTGCGTGTATCGCGAGCTTGCTAGCGCAATTTAACAAGGCCCCTACCAGAAAGGCATTCGGAGCGGCCAAACACTTAATTCGATATTTGAAAGGATCTTGTACACAGGGTATTACCTTTTGCATGTTAAATGGACCCCTACCGCAACCACTGGTTTATACTGATTCGGACTGGGGAGGTCCTCATTATAATTATTGGTTAGTATCAGGCTATATCGTATTTTTAGCCGGTGCCCTAATATTATAGCGATCTGCCAAACAAACATCCATTGCCTTATCATCCAATAAGGCAGAATATATGGCGGCGTCGGATGCAGTTCAGGAAACTTAATAGCTTTATCGCCTACTTAACGAGATGGAGATCTACTCTGCGCCTTTAGACCTTATTACATTCCACGTTGATAATAAAGGTTGCAAGGATCTTATCAGTTCAACGGTCACCACCAAGCGCTCTAAGCATATTAATATTCGGTATTATTATACGCGCGAGCTCGCGGCGGACCGTATTATTAATATTTGGCTATGCCCTAGTAAGGAAAACGCTGTGGACGGTCTTACTAAATTGCTTCGATCCGAAGGATTCACGGCTTTTCTCGATAATATAGGTTTAGCTTAGTTTTTGGCTTTTGGCTTTTTGCTTTACACGCGATTCTGTACGTAATGGTGCTGGGTGAGCACGCTTCGGCCAAGGGGGTGTTAGGGACCTACCATATTCGGTATGGTCACGTGGCCTCACTTAGTCACCCATCTAGATAGTCAGCTCGCCTGAGCCCCTTGAATTCAGAGAATTGTGCCTCGCGAACAAAGTTTGTGGGTCATGTGATCAAAACTACACTAATGGGCCCGGCAGCTTTTTCTGCCGGGCCTGGCCGAACTGTGTACACTGTTTGCTTGCCGCTCTAGGATTATATAAGTTATGGACTAGTTGTGTACTAGTTACCGACTGGTTGCTAACTAGTTCACTACTAATTAGAATGCACAAG